GAACTGCTGTCTTGGACATATAAGTCTGTGAATGTGTGTTCTCTTTTAAGTCTACATTTATTGACATGCTTGCTCTAAAAGTGTAGTCAGTTAAGAATTACCTTGGGCAGATGATCATATTGCAATTGGCTCAATATTGCTTTCAAATTGTAATTGACATTTCCAAATACCCAAAGCATCAATATGTTGTTGACATAAAGAGAACCTTTACTTGCCATCTAGCCAGAACTAGATGAAAAACTCTTTCTAACCTTGCATAATATTCATTGATCCAGAAAATTTGCAATTTTCCTGCCTTGGTTAGGGATCAACAAAAGTTCCAGGTAGAGTAAAGAGCAATGAGACAAAAATAGAGTTAAAACTTTATATCTAATATTTGAATTTTTTCTTTGACATCTGGGGATATACAGTCACATAGAATTATAAAACCAAAAAGAACATTTATTTTAAGTAAGTGCTACTGTTAAGTTTATGGATTAGAAGACTTTGTATTGGTAGGTGGCATTAATCTCCAAATTGATCTATAGAATCAATGTGATTTTCACCAAAAATTTGTTGACTTTTTTGCAGAAATTGACAAGTTAATTATAAAATTAATATAGAAATGTAAGAGACCAAGAATAATTAGACATTGAACAAGGAACAGTTGTTCATTGAAAAAGGAAAATTTGGAGGACTTCAACATCCTAATTTTAAAATCTAATACAAAGGTGAAATAATCAAAGCTATATAGTGCTGACATAAAGATAGCTATAGATCAGTGGAATAGAATTGAGACACCAGAAATAAGCTTTTTCACTTTTGGTCTAATGACTTTATACAGATGTCTAAAAAATTTAATGGGGAAAGAATAACTTTTCAAACAAATGATACTGGTACAACTGTGTATTTGTATGGAAAGAATGAGTTTGAAACCCTACTTCATGCCACATGTAGAAATTAACTCAAAATGATAACAGACCTAAAACTAAGAGGTAACATTATAAAACTCTCTGAAGAAAACGTGAGAATAAATCTGTATGACCAATTCTACTTCTTCATATATATCCAGAGAATTGAAAGCATCTTCACAGAACTTTTACACAATGTTCATAGCAACATTGTTCATAATAGACAAAAGCAGAAGTAATACAAGAGCAGCCTATGAGTGGAAAAGACAGATGTGGTATATCCATAAGAAGAAACACTGAACCACACAGTGCAATGAAATACTGCTATATGCTGTATTATGGACGGGCTTAGGAAATATACTTCTAGGTGAAAGAAGCCATGTCTTGTAATTCTGTTTCTATGAAATACTCAAAACAGAGACAGAAAGTAGATTAATGATTAGCAGTGAATGTCAGGGGAGAGGAGAATGATAAGTGGCTGTTAATGGGTATGGGGCTTGTTTTCAGGATGATGAAAATGTTTGAACCTTAATGGTGATGAATATAAAATTCTGAATACCACTGAGTTGTACTTTTTTTTTAAAGGGTAACTCTTAAGTTATGTGAATTATATCTCAGTAAAGCTGTTGCAAGGAAGAAAAATGGGTACCAACTACCCATGGAATCTCTAGATGGTTGTAGCTAGAGTTTACACATATTGTTCCTGCCACCCCGTGAGAAATCCTACCTTAGAATTGCCCCACCAAGTCTCTGACTCTCAGAATCAAGGTTCATGCTTTTCCTAAAACCTCAAAATTAATCATTTCCTTTTTTTAAGCATGATAATGCAAAGTAATAATATTCATATTACCACTACAATTAAAGTTATAAAACACTTAAAATATTCTTGTATTTCCTTTTTCCTCCCATTTTTACAATGTTGTAGTATATCTTCATTGACAGAGGATACAGATATTCACACTGTACTCCTTTTTGATCTAATTATCTTTTATTCCTAGTTCTTCAAATAAATATATACCTAATATTCACTGCCAGTTCTTGTTTTGATGTTTTTTTAGTTAACTTTGGTCATTAAAGCTCATGCACTAGAATATTGCCTAAGAAAGGCTCATGGGAATAGTATTCTCTTCCTGCTTTTGTGTCACTCAGACTTTTTCTGTGCCTCATATCCTTGAAAGTTATTTGGCTAGTTATAAAATTCTTAGCTCTCATTCTTTCTTGTTAAGTATCTCAAATACAGTATTCAAGGGTTTATTCTTTAATCCATTACACAGTTGATTATACAGCTTTAAAAGCTAACACAGTTTACTGTGTGTTGTGTGCTCAATGAGCAGAAAACCAGACCCAAGGTTACTTCTGTATAAGACAGACAGGTAAGAAAATTAATGCTTTTGGCATAAATAAGTGCATCAAATGTCTGACATATGTTCAAGTATTTTATCACAGGCTCAAGTATTTTGTTAAATGTTTCTGCCTAAATATTTTTGTAGCTTACCAATCCTGTTTCCTTTACTCTATAAAAACTTACCAAATCCTTCATAATAATATAAATATATAAAGACTTTCATCTTCTACAAGTAGTACCTTAAACTATGAAATGTCTTTTGGTTTTATATATTTTCTTCCCTTTATTCATATGGAAAGGAGAAAAATATGTTAAGAAAAAAATCTTGTACAGAAGTCTTTCACAATGACATGATCTTATACTTAAAAGACCCCCAAAAAACTCCTAGACACTATAATACAGCCTCGGCAAAGTGACAGGATACAAAATCAATTAACAAAAATCATAGCCTTCTATACACCAACAATGAATAGACTGAGAAAGAATATAGGAAAATAATTCTATTTAATGGACTCAAAAACAATACCTAGGAATAAACTTAACAAAGGATGTGAAAGGCCTCTGAAGGAAAGCTATAAACCATTGAAGAAATAAAGACGATTACAGAAGATGGAAAGACCTCCCATGCTCATGGATTGATAAAATCACTATTGTGAAAGTGGCTGTGTTGCCAAAAGCAATCTACATGTTCAATGCAATTCCCACCAGAATTCCAAAGACATGCATCACAGATTGAAAAGTCAACCTTAAAGTTCACTGAAAGCGCAAAAACCCGTGAATGGCCAAGGCAATACTGAGCAAAAAGAGCAATGCTAGAGGTATCACAATACCCAACTTCAAACTATACTACAGAGCCATAGAAATAAAAACAGCATGGTATACTGTCACAAAAATAGATATGAAGATCAGTGGAACAGAATAGATGAACTAGACATGAACCCACACAGCTATGCCTGCCTGATTTTTGACAAAGATGCCAAAAAACATACGATGGAGAAAAGACAGCCTCTTCAACATATGTTGATGGGAAAACTGGATATCTGCATCCAGAAAACTGAAACTAGATCCATGTGTTTTACCCTGTACAAGTATCAACTCAAAGTGGATTAAGGACTTGAGTATAATACCTGAAACTGAAACTAGTGCAGGAAAGAGCAGGGAATACACTGGAATTTATAGGCATAGACAAGGACTTCCTAAATAGAACTCAAATGGTCAGCAACTAAGAGAAAGAATTGACAAATGGGACTACATGAAATTAAAACGTTTCTGCACAACAAAAGAAATGGTCTCTAAATGAAGAGGCTACCCACAGAATGGGAGAAAATCTTTGCTAGCTATATATCAGACAAAGGACTGATAACCAGAATACACAGGGAGCTCAAAAACCTAAACTTCCCCAAAATCAATGAATCAATAAAGAACTGGGCAAGTAAACTAAACAGAACTTTTTCAAAGTAAGAAGTCCAAATGGCCAAAAAACACATGAAAAAATGCTCACTGTTGAAACTATTCTAGAAATAGTGGAAAAGAGGGATAAAGGAGAATGCTGGAGGGTGGTGAATTAAGGTATGATAAAGTTAATAAATTGCAAGAATGTTTGTAAATGCCACAGTGTACCCCTACCCAGCACAAGAATTTTAAAAAAAATTTTTTCACAAACACGCTGTACCCCTATGTGATATGTTTCTATTCAGTCATTAATCCAAAAAACAAAAAACATTTTAAAAATCCATTTACTATATCAAAGTGCTTTAGTTACAGCTTTTGTTTCCTTCAAGATAACCAATTCACTTATACCGTACTTGTTAAGATCATATATTGTCTCATTTTTTTTCATTGGAACGATGCATTCAAAGCCATAAATACTGTTTATATAGTGTGGGATTGGGTAATAGGTCTTTCTTCTGGTGGTTTGTTGCTTTGGTGAAATCAAGAATCCAGGACTAACATTATCTATAACTCTGCATGTAAAAAGTGGAGTATTCATAGAATTCTGTTAAAGAATAACTCCATGGCTGAACAGAGAACTAATATCTTCCATAAAGAAGAACAAACACCAGGCATGCTTTCTAGAATGTGTCTTTCCTCTTCTTCTCTGGGCAGCATCCAAATCAAGTTTCTCACCATCTTGCCACGCAAAGTGGTTCCATCTTGGAGTCCTCCTCTGATGCTCTTACCTCTGTAGCAAAAGCAGCTTTAACACTTTAGAAATTAAGTGGTAAAGGTCATCTTCAGAATCAGTTTTTATGACAAAATAAGAACTCCCAGTTTCTTCTTCCTGCTGTATTCCTGCATACTTGTGACAAAAGTGACTTTGCAAGACAACATTTTTTCATGGACTTCCTTTTTTCTTTTTTATAATTTTACTGTTGTGGGAGGTGCAAGGTATAGTACATTAAAACTCACCTCTCACCACCTGTCACTGGAGCCTTTCCTTTGGTGCTCATTTTCTGTGCTGGTTTAAAACACAATTCTAAAAACCTGTGTCTGGGTAGCAGGAAGCTAAATGATGCATTATGAAGCTCTTAACATACTGTATTGTGTGAATGGGCCATTTGAGCATTTCAGAAACCAAATGGGGAAAGAAAGTACATTGAAAGCATTGAAAAGATTAACACCTGTTTCTCAGCTTAAAATAAATTGCAACATACTGTCTATATCCAGAGCAAAAACTACTTACTCTCCATGTTGAGGTTTTTTTATTCAGATCTCCAGTTCTGTATGTGCAGCATCCACATGTTTATGGATTTGTTTCTCTGCAGGATTCCACGCAGAACTTGGAAGGCAGAGAAGTTATGAATGGTGTACAGACAGAACCACTAATATCACCAAAAACTAAGGAGGCGTTGAGGTATTTTCTTTCTGCAAATAATATTTTTATTTATTTAAGTTTGATGTTGGTTTCTCTTTTTTATCATTCTTAGTAGCATATATTAGTTGTATAGGGTGTTCTGTTGTGACATTTCCATTTCATATATGCTTACAATGAATGTACCTTGGTTAGGTTCATCCCCTCCATCATTCTCACTAGTCCTCTTTCCCCAATCCTTAAAACAGTTTTAACAGGTGTCATTGTCATTATCATACCAACATATAAAGTACATAGACCATATTCACCTCCCCCACCCCACCGCCTTCTCTGTTTACCCTCCCCCTCCCACTGGGACCCACCCCTAAACAGGACCTGTTTTACCTTCCTGTTCTTCATTTTTTTATCTTTTGTAAGACCAGGGTTTGAATTTAGGACTTTGTTTTTGCAAGGCAGGCACTCTACCACTTGATCCACACCTCCAGTCCATTTTGCTCTGGTTATTTTGGAGATGGGGATCTCACAAAATATTTGACCAGACTAGCCTCAAACCACAATCCTCCCAAGTAACTAGGTGTGTGCCACTAGTGCCTGGTTAGTCCTTCACCTTTTAAGGTATATATTTATTGATCAAAGTGGTTTTGCCATGGTATTTCACACACATATATTGTACTTTAATCAGATTAACTTTTTATAGGAAAACTGAAGATAAGTAGAACTATGGAGTAAATCATGTCCCAAATCAAACATTACTTATTCTTCTCTTTCTCCCATTTTTATATAAGAAATGAGAACTTACTGATACACGTGTGTGTGTGTGTGTGTGTACACAAATGATTCTCAGTACTCCCAGTCCTGCAGCCAGGCTTTCTTAATTACTTTTCCTCTTTTGAGCAGTGATTTAAAATGAACACAGCCGAGTTCATTGTGGTTGAGTGTTTAACATTGACTCTAGCGCTTTGACTACTGCTATGTATTGTGTTTGAAGATCTTGAAGTATTTTATTTAATATAAGATAAATCCAGTCCATTAATGAGGATTTTTCATCTTTTTAATGAGAGTAACTCATTATTTGAAGCCAGTTGCACCCATGATTAACAGTACTTCCTTTTCTTTACACTAATTTCCAATACTGTATCTCTCAGTGCTGCCTGGATTCAAATACCAACTCTGCTTCCCACTAGTTTCATGAACTTAAGCAAGTTAGCCAGTTTTTCTTTGCCTTGCTTACTGGTCTACAAAATGGAAATAGTGTTGAAACTTTCTTTAGAGTGGCTCACACCTGTAATCCCAAATACTTGGAAGGCAGAGATAGGAGGATTGTGGATCAAGGCCAATCCAAGCAAAAAAGTTAGCTAAATCCTATCTCAAATAACAAAATGGACATGGTCGTACATAGCTATAATCCCACCTGTGTGTGAAATAGAGGTAGGAGGATTGTGGACTGTGGGTGGCTCAGACAAAACTCAAGATCCTATTTAAAAAATGACTAAACAAAAAGGCCTAGGGGTATGACACAAATGGTAGAGCACTTGCCTAACAACTGCAAGGCCCTGAGTTCAAGCCCCCCAGTACTGCTAAAAATAAAGAAATAAATTAAATGAATCCTCCAGAGGATTGGTGTAGGGATTCTCTGTAAATATTTATATGTGTTTATGTATGTAAAGTGCTTTGCAGTGCTTGGGTCAGAGTGAATCCTGTGAGTATTTGCTGCTATTGCTATTATTAACATCATCACTATTACAGGTTAAGTAGCCCTTATTCAAAATGTTTAGGAACAGAAGTGTTTCATGTTTCAGAGGTCTTATGAACATGGTGCAAATAATTTATATATATGTGTGTACATGCAGAAATGATTCCTATTGAGACTCTTCCAGGAATCAGGGAAGGGAGGATGAAGGAGAAACCTGGTGGGGGTGAATTTAAGTATGATATATTTGATACATTGTAAGAACCTTTGTAAGTGCTACAATGTACCACCACCCAGCACAATAATTTTTTAAAAACAAGTGTTTTTAGATTTTGAACTATTTACATAGATCTCACTGGTGAAGCATGCCTAATCCAAAAATCTAAAGTCTGAAATGCTTCAAAATCCAAAACTTTTCAAGTGTTAGGAGTTTTAGATTTTAATTGAATTTTTAGATTTGAATTTTGGAGTTTTTGATTAGGGATGTTCAACCTTTGTGATTTTCATTACTGTCATTATTATTTTCTTCAAGTTGATTCATATTTGGCATGAGGAAAGGAACATCATATTTACATCATTACTTGATGATACCCCTGAGGTTGCTCAGTCAGTGTATTCTTTTGATTAAGTCTTTTTTATTACTAATAGGTGCTAGTCGATTTACATGAAATTGGATTTAGGAAAAAAAAAAACTGTTCATCCTCTATCACACCATTTTACTATGTGAATTCTCCTCAGATGTGTAATTTATACTCATATGACCATACTTAATCTTTATTTAGATTGGTTTTTTGATTAATGAGCTATGGAATATTAAAAATTTGGTATAAAAATTTTCCAAGGCACTGTCTTTTCATAAAATTATTTTGAAGGTGGTCATACTGAAGCTGACACTCTTATTTTATCTGCTTTAATTTCATTTTTTAAATGTTAGCTTTTTGAAAAGTTTTCTAACATCCTGACTAAATGTTAAATGAACACCCATCTAGAATAATCAGTTGTCTGCAGGAAAAAATAATTAGCAAGGCTTTCTTCAGGTGTACAGAATTTAAGAGTATAGGAATTTTTAATGTTTTTAAATTAAAACATATGCTTATATATAGAAGTATAGTTTCATTATCAAAACAGCCTTTTGTGTGAATTTTATTAGCTTAGGGAACTATGATTCAGAACAATTAAGTAACAGTCAGTGACCCAATCCATACCTACCACTCTTGTCTATAAATCCATTACAGCACTAGTTTTTGTTGATTCCTTAAGGTTTCACTTCATGCTGCATAACCAGGATTGGGAAAGATCATGTTGTGAGTGCAAGTACAGGAGAAGCACAGCTGCACTCAGCTTCAGACAAGACTCTGAATGCAGTGTGAGTGCAAGCTCCCAGCATTTGCAGACTCCGGGGAGGTAAAGGGTGATTCATGTAGGCATTACTCAGGCCTGCATTACCTCTCAGCTAGACTACTGTAATAACCTACTGCCTCTTCCCTCAAATATTATTCTCGCCTCACTTTAAATGAGCCTGTGTATTGCTACTGAATAAAATGTTCTAGACTGTGGTGTTTATCAAACCGTTCTTTACTTCCAAAACCTTTGGACTTAGATGAATCCTGGGTTTGAACATTGACTCTGCTACTTACCACCTATGCAATATGGGACAAATTACTTCCTTAAAATGTTTTCTTCATATACAAAATGGGTATCATGATCACACAGATTATTGTGAAGCTTAATTAAGACATAAAACAGGTAACTGACTTGGCACAGTGCTGGAGAAGCATTAATTGCTATTATATTTATCTCTGTAATTATTATACATATTAAAGTTTATTGTAACTATTGGTTCTCCAAAACAAGACTATGAATCTTCCAAAGGATTTCTGATCCCTAAGGCAGGTCTTACACTATAACAGCGGCATGTTTGTTAAATGAATGACTGAATGGATACAATAAATTATCCCAGAACCAGTAACTATAAATGCATCCTTTATCAGCAAAACATCTTCATGTGAAGGGAGCTCTTCAAATAGTCTACATGTGCCCATTTACTTTGAATGTAAGACAATGAAGCAAGAGGTTTCTCTTGGGTAATTTTTTGAAAATGTACACTTTGGGCTTCTCTTTAAAAAAAGGAAGAAGTTAAATATGGGTGATATACTTTCTATACAAGAATAAATATAGAATTTTAAAACCTGCTGAAATCATCATAAGAAGAGGACTAAGATAGAAAGGAGAAAAATGGAGGGGATGAACCAATTCGGGTTATAATACATATATACATGAAACTTTCATAATAAAACTCTCTGTATAGATATCTTTAACAAGCAAAAATGTCTCTTTTTTTCCATAACAAAGGACAGGAAGGTAAAACAGGTCCTGCCTGGGGGTTGGATATAACCCTCTGCGGGGAGAGGATATAAGAAAAGGATGTAGGAGGGTGAATGTGGTGGAATATTATGTACTCATCTATGAAAATGAAACCTGTTAAAACTATTCCAGGAATGGGGGGAAGGAGAATATAGGCAAATGATGGAGGGAATGAATTTAACTAAGATATTTTGTAAGCACTTTTGTAAATGTCACAATGTACCCCCAGTAATATGATAACATGATAAAAATTTTTATAAAATAAATAGCAATCAATATTTATGAAAGACTTTCCCTTGTTCCTAATTTCTGTGTTATTCTTTATTTCATTTTATTCTTCAACTCCTACCTCTTCAAGATAAGCTCCTCCAAACTTTCCTTTTTCCCCAGGCTTAAAACTTCCACTGTAATCTATCATCTTCTCTTTTGCCCATAATAGCAACTCACTGAACAGAGTCCACCTCCAAATATCTTGCCCCACAGTCATGCTTTATTCCTACAATCAATTCCAAACCCTACATTCCCATGGAGCAAGATTACTGGAATAATTTACTAACTTTTATCTCAAGTACTAGTCCTATCTCTACTTGATCCCACACATAACTGCCAGATACATATTTCTAAGCCACAACATTTATCACACTGTTCCTTGGTGCAAAAAACCTTTAGTGGTTCCATTTTCTAAGTATGAATTCTCCAGTCTGGGATTTGGCATACCACTACAATGCCTGATTATAAACTAATGTCTCAGTTTGCTTCTCACCCCTAACACCTGTATCTCCTCTTTTCTTCCTGGTCTTTCTTCTCACCCTCCATCTCTGACATTACAGCCAATCACGAATTCACAGCCATTTTGGCAGCTTTCCATCCTCTGCCTCCTCTCTCTGTCCTTCCATCTACCTTTTCTAATGGAAATTCCACTTGCCCACCGGAGACTTTTCTCAAATGCCACCTCCTAAAGAAAGAATTTCCTGTCCCCAGCTTCCCTTTGTTAACCTGTATCTTTTTCCTTTAAATATCAAAATGCACCTCTACTTTTGGAAATGGCATATCAAAAGGTCAAGAACCCACTGTCTGGAGAGCAATAAATCCCAATTTCAGTCCTGACTCCACATTATATGAATTACAAAATGGACAAATTGTAACCTCTCTAAGCATTAGCTTACTTCCCTCTAAAATGGAAGTGATATAAAGTGCTTATATATAAATGTTTACAAGTTCATATTATAATGTTCAGAGCCCAAATAAAAAAAAGCTAGCTTTGTTGAGAACATATGATTACTACTACTCCAGGATGATGAGCTGTAATCTAAAAATCTGAGATCTGAAATTCTCAAAATACAAAACTTTTTGAGTGCCAACATGATGGCACAAGTGGAAACTTCAATACCATGAAATTTTGTTTCATGAATAAAATTATTTAAAAACACCCTATGAAATTACCTTTAGGCTATGTGTATAAGATCTGTATGAAATATAAATGAATTTCTGTTTTGTCTTGGGTCCTGTCTTGGGTCCCAAGATATTTTATTATGAATATGATAATATTACACAATCCAAATGCATCAGAAATCTTAAACACCTGAATCCAAGCATTCCCCAAGTTCTTGGCAGAACTTCCCCATAGAAATGACTGAGTTTATGTTTATTGAATTCAAGTGAACTTAATGAATCTCACTATCACCACAACTAACTATTTTGTTTTTTACTATTAAATTTACATCAACCAGACTTTTCCTGGTCAAATAAGTTCGGGTCATCTGCAGACTCTTCTTGGAGGTTCCCCTCTGCAGTCCACATCCTAGTACCTATGACAGGTCTGGGACTTAGTCCCTGGAGACACCAACACAATTTTTGTCCATTTCTTGCAACTAACTATATTCTCTATATATATCAGCGATAACACTGAAGAAAATGTGTTCCTCAATCCTACAGTATTTAATAAGTTTTAAAAGTCTTGCCAAAGAAATGGGTGGAAAATAATTGGAAAACTTATGGTTGATTATTCTTTTTTAGTCCAAATGCTTATTTGTTGCCCTAGAAAGTTCTAATAATCATACTAATAGGTTATAGCTATTGATCGCTTTATAGATACCAGGTCTGTGTATGTAATATTCTCTGTTTTTCTCATTAACACCAACAACTCTGTTAGGAAAGTCCCTAGCCCTGATGTCCTCATTGGACAAGTGAGGAAACTGAGGCTTTAGGTCTTAGTTGCACTGACTTACTCAGACACCTGACTCAGAGTCACCTCTGGGAAGAAATTTCCTTCTACAATAAAGCATCTTCTTTGCCTGTCTTTAGTCCTATCTCTCCTAGACCCAATGTGAAGCCTTAGACAGAATTAAGTCATATTAATACTGAAAATTCTGTCCATTTGCATTGTATGAAGAAATCCAACCTACAAATGTCTGCAGTTTCTGTTGTGTTTTCTGCCTCCAGCTTCAAGTCTTTTTTTCTGGGTGGAAACCACTTGAAACACTTAGCTTCTAGCTCCAGCAAAGTGGTTATTCATAATGACAGTCTCATTTTGATCCACTGATCTCTAGCTTTGTCCATAGTTCTGTATTGAGTGCTTAGATTGGTAGCAGCTGGTCCCAGTGATTACTTGAGACAGTGTTGTCAAGTGGACCTTAAGTCATTTAGCTTACTTAATATTTGTTAAGGTAATGCTTCCTGACTAGCTTTTTGTTTTAGTAGATCTACGTGTTAGAAAGATGTACAAAAATAGCTGTTTTCCTCTTAGTGAAATCTTCTCTTTGTATAACAAATATATTTTCTTCATATAGTTCATTTTTGTTTGCCTTTCATAATTCTTTTTTTTTTTCACTACTAGGATGTCTTCTCCATCTCATTTTCTACACTTTTTATCCATAATCCACCTTGCAGCTTATCTTCTGACTACTCTGGTGTCCTCCAAACAAAAGTAAATGGTCTATGTCCTGCTCACTAGGCCCTGAACTGTACTCTGGGATGTATCTAAACAAATAACACTAATAGCTTATTTTCACATCTTTGTAAAATCTCACTTTTTGAGAGACATGTATTTAAATAATTGTGTGAAGTCCTGCTTGCCATGTTTATATTTTATGAACTGTGTATACAGAGATTGCTACACAACTCCATCAAGTATTTGTAATTCTGATAGGTATTTTTCCTTTTAAAATAAATAAAAAATTGTGAACTTATCTATGAGATATCTGTTTCACATCTCTTTCTTTCCATCCTGAAGCAAATAATGGATAACGTTTTATAAAGGACATGGTAAAACATGATCTATGTAAAAATTGTAATTCTTGTCTTTATTAAACAGGCCTAACTTTCTTGTAAGTACTTGCATATTACATTGTATAAAATTGAAAGTCTTCATGCTTTATTCCTGGGATGGCAATATTTTTCTAAGCGTAATCTAGCAGTTGTCAAAAATCTTAGCTGAAGAATGGTGGCTATTGTTTGCAACAGTAAGCTAAAAGTTCATTCTGAAATATTGAAAAAAGAAATCTCACATAGAAATGAACTTTAAAATCTTCATCTTCAAATTTTTAAAAATATTTTAAGTAAAATGGATTAAACAGACTATGAGATTTACTTTATTAAGTGAATATAAAAGATTGATAATTACCAAAGAGTAGGTGTTATTGTGATACACAGAATTTATTGTTTTATAGAAGTAGGAATGAAGAAATATTTTAAACTAGATAAAAAAGAGAATCCATCATCTGTAAAAGTCATGCTAAAAATTCTTAAGTTGAAATCTTAAAGTCTACTCTAGACTAAACATTTACGTTTGAAACCACTATATATTACATGTGTGTGCTATCTATTAGCAATGGGTGTGGAAAAATGATAATGTTTCAGTGGCTAAACTATATTTATTATTTATTTATTTAGTGGTGCTAGGGATTGAACCCAGAGCCTGGTAAGCAAGCACTCTACCACTGAGCTACACCTCGATTGATTTTAGTTTCTTTTCTAAAGAAGTTTTTTTTTTGGCGGGGGGTGAGGGGAGGGGACGCTGAACTCAGGGCTTCCTGCTTGCTAGGCAGACGCTGTACCACTTGAGCCAAAGTTCTTATAACAGTATCATAAACCTAAAATATGAATGCTTTTGGTTTAGTGTTCTTAGTCTGAAAAAAGGCTTTGGTACATTAAAGTCTATGTGACTTTCTCTGCCCAATAAGCATTTTATATTCAGGACTTAAAATACCTATATATAACTATCCAAATGCATATATTCATATAAATGTTCATAGCTTCACACATATAGAGAAGAATCATTTCATCCTATGTTATTACTATGTTTTTAACTTTTTACAGGTCTCTGACATAGCATGCTTGACCAAACATGTTTTACATTTTATCAGCAGTATCTGCGTAAAACTCATTTGAAATTTATGATCAGATTTGAAATTCCATTGTCTTACAAAAAAATGCTAGAAACAGATATATACTCTTTTTTGAAGTTCTTAATGATAATAGACTTGCAAAGAAAACACATTAAAAATAAGCCTAATCCACTGATAAGAAGCATATTCTTACTGTTTTTATTTTAGATTGCTGATAATTTAAAAGAATATTTCACATAGAGTGAATTCATCGGATACTTTGCTTCATAACTTCCAGCAAAGAGCAAACATTTCGCCATTTTCAATTTTGTAGCAGAAAAGGGTTTGTAGCAGCTGTAGCTCTTAATTTGACATCTAGTATCAGGTCATTTTCATGTAAATAGAAAACAATAGAAACCTGCTTACAATTTCCATGAAGGGGATGTTTGCTTCAACTTTATCATTTTCCTCAGGCAATTTTATTTTCTCTCTCTGGGATTAAAGGAGCCAATAATTGTTCACGGTTATTATTTTTCATCTTTACAAAAACTTGTTAGTTCCACTCTTCATTACTCAAAAGCTCCCAGAGTCGTCTATATTTCAGTCATACGCACTATCCATTAATGTTTCTAGCTCATCCTTCCCTTAATCTGGGCTAGGTTAGGCAGGTCAGGCTTTCTATTTCTTTCTGTAATACATTTTCTCCAGGTTTTGCAACCTCTTTTTCTACCTTACAAATAAATAAATAAACCAGATGGTGAAAATTTGGAATTGTGCCATCAGATACAACTGGTGCAAGTTTAAGTTTTGATTTATATTGATTTGAACATGCCCAACTGTATTACCAACCGTGGCTTCACAGCTGTTATAAAATGTAATTCAGGACTTTTTCTAATCAGTATTTTATTTCATGTTTCCTGTGTTCTAGAAAAAAAAGGAAGCCTACTTTATGCTTAAGATAGATACACTTACTTCCATGTATTTATGATCTGTACATTAATTTTCAAATGAGTCTCATTGGGGAGAAATCTCATTTTTGTATACCTGTTTTCAAATATGGTGATTTATGCAGATTAAGTGGGAAGTTATTTTTGTAGGTAGTTGTTTCCACCTGTGTCTCTTCTAGGGATAAAAAGAGGGAATTGGATAGTCTTTCTAAACATTTCATTTTTTAAAACGTACCAGGAAATCATGTACTCCTCTGACTTGGAGTTACAGTAGTTGATACATTCCTGGGGAGGGAGGGGCTAATGTGCTAAGCCTGCCTTTTAGCAGAGACTCATGTGCTCTCCTGTTTTCTTCTGTCCCAGTGGTATGACAAGAAGAGTGGAGATTTCTGGGGAAGGAGGCCCCTTGGGAATACATGTAGTGCCCTTTTTTTCATCTCTGAGTGGAAGGTAAGCTGTTTTCCTTGTTTCAGAAGCTCATGGTAATGAAAACTCTGACAAGCTCTTTCTCATATTTTTCAGAAGAGGATTAAGTATGAGTTTCTGTTATTCAGATGGACACTGGATGTATACTTTTGTTGGCCCCATGTGTTAGAAACAAAACAAAAGCATTTACTTCTAGGATGCAGTGAAAAGAAAAACATCTATCACATTTTCTACATTTATAATTAATTATGCAGTCCTTGCTTAAAGTATCCTTGTGGGTGATACATAGTAAATAGAATCCTTGGCAAAGATTTTAACATATTGTTAGACAAATGTCGCAACTGAATTTTTTAATATTACAAAACACACTTCAACAAGATAATTCCAAACTGACATTTCCTTATATTCCTCAGACATATAGAACTAAGAATAATAAACATTCAGCATTCTAGTAGCTATATCAGAAGCTATATATGTATTTATATAATTATTTTGCTATAGAAGAAAGATGTCATCTTACTGTCGTGTCTGTAAAATAGTATAAGCTATGGAAAATAATTTACCACATCTTTCTGAATTTAGCAACATTCTGTTGCTAAATCCACCCTGGCAAATGGTAATTTAAATTGTGTCAATGTTTCTTGAAATCCACATCTAACTGAATTTAAAACTTGTTTTGTTGTTGGAGCTGAAAGTCTATGCCTCAGAGCTAATAATAATAGTAGTATAACAACCTTAAAGAACTAGTTTTAGATATTATGCCACTTTACAACAAGAAGACTGTGTTTAGTACTGAATTGATATTGACAAGGGTTGCCAGAAACTTAAAGGAAAATGTTTCTCACTCACGTAACATTCTTGTAATTATTTTCTGAAGTATATTGTTGAAAAGGCAGAATACCTTATCTTACTTTAGGATATGAAAGACCAGAAAAGTCCATTGATTTTTTCCAGAGTCACACAAAACACCTCTCTTCTGACTTACTCTCATTCCATTGCTCTTTCTAGAACTAAAATGTCCCAAAGGTTGTGTAATATTAATTTACCAGTTCTGAATATTTATTCACTTCAGTCTGCCATATCACAGGAAGAGCAGCTTTAGCCATGATATTTTGGTTGGCATCATATTCTGTAGCTAACCATCTGCTACCTGTAATTGCAAAGTCATCACCTTTTTTTTTTTTTTCAAACAACATCTGATGCCAAACCCTTGCTGGAATGAATGTTCCCTAAGAAGAAATGAACTGAAAGGCTAGGGGCTCTTCTGTCTAGTTTTCTGGATGTGTTAATAAGCATATTTATAAATGTTATGGGTTATGGCACAGGACAAACAGAGGTTGTTTTTGATAGACAGGTCAAGTATTTACTCAGTAGTCACAAGACATTCTAATGGCTTTTGGCAGAAGTGAAATACCTGAGTGGTTAAATTACCAGGCCCTTTAGTTTAATAAAGCTGGAATAGAACACAAGATCTTCCCAATTTCCAAAAAATGAGAAAATATACAATGTGACAGTCACTATACTTCATTTTCAGTAGTTTGGAAAACAGTCTGACCCTGTAGATGAGAAATCACCTTATCTCATTTCAAATAAGTGAAGCACACTAGAGTTTATTTATTTCCTCCCTTTTTCTCCTTTCTAGTTCTGATTCCTAACCTAGTAGAATAGTAGATTCAGAGAAGTGAAATTAATTCTAGTGTTGTTTTTATGTAACCTCCAGCAAGTCCCCAATACTTGTCTCTTATGAATACCCACCTTATGTCAAGATTATGGGGATTAACTGATATTAAAAATGTGAAAACTCCTAGTAAAACTCACAATTTATGCATTTTTTTTGCTTTGTATATTTTATTAATTTTTCAGGACATTTATAAATGCATTTATAAACTATCAGTATTATGATCGTTTTTGCTAAAAAAAAAAAACAAAAAACGCCTGATACAGAAATGAAGCTTTAAGTTCATGGTCAACCATTCAGTAACTTGGAGAAATAGTTCTATTATTTTTTTTTTTGCTATCTACTAGTATTATAGAAAGGGAATTTAATTTAAAAACATTAAAAAATAATATGGAAGTGGCAACATAAGCCAATAAAAGTTAAGAAATAATGAGTACAGGCTGAAACAGCACACTTAACTCAACCCATGTGTGTAGATGCAACTGTGTACAGAGCATGTCAGACAAGTGTCTGACTTCATAATGCCATATGGTTTCACTGTGTGAGTGTAGGGGCTTAGTGGAGGTCATAGTGGTATGCTTAGCTCTTAATTTCCTTCCATTTATTGGTTTGTGTCATTATTTTAAATTAGAATTTACCTTTAATTCTCTATTAAGACACTGTAATTGGCTTTGCCTTCAATGTACTTTTTGTCCTTTTAGAAAAATACTGCCACACCTGTTGTTGAATAAGAACCCTAATCTAAGTTAGAGCATCCTGAGTAAAATGCAGAAGCTGCTGTACCAGATAGTCTTTATGAGTCTATTAGGCACTTTAGCACAGGGATGCTGAATGTTGCTTGTTTTGGTGGCCATTGACTTTCCCAGTTTAAAACACACACACAACACTTAAGTCCTTGCAAGTGAAAAGCAAGTTAATTTCATTTATTTTTAGAGTATCAGTGTGATTTTTAGATTCAAAATCATGGAATATTCTTTTCAATAAAGATAATATACCTCAGTTTCATAGGAGGAAGACAAAGTGAAAGAGAGGAGAAGGGATGAGGGAAGAGTGACGCAAAATGTGAGAAGACATTTTGAGACAAAAATGCTCAGCTGGCAGAGTGGCAAGGCCATATGATACAGAGGGAGGCAGGAAAGGGGCAAAGAGAAGGCTTTGGTGACTAAATGATTATTAGATGAGATTATTCTGCTGAGTTGTGGATTTCAGCATTCTTTATCACTGCACATCAATGCAAATGAACTGGTTAGTCTTGGCCTGTAATTCATCAACAGCATTAATCTTTAAATCCTGTCAGTCTTGGTCTCAAGTAAAACAGCTACCACAGCCCACCATTTGGGGCAAGGAGGACAATGAGATACTGTTTTCTGAACCTTCTCTTAGTGGTCTGGATGACATCATACAAGAGAGAATCCACTCCTTCTATGGACTAGAGAGGGTAAGGGTGGTTTGTTGCCAGGGACCAAACTAATAAAACCAGTCAGTTTTACATTTTACCAAAATTACCTCTGACACATGGGTTTTACAGTTGGGCCTGTTCTGTCAATAAATTTTTCATGGAAGTTAGGTTATTTAGATCTGAGGGTCACACAGAATACTCCAACTGTAATATGCTAGCTAAATTGCAACTCAGTGGCCTGAAAGAATTAATTCATCTCCCAAAATGTGAAATTAAATCCTAGGGAGTAACATTACATGACTGATGATGTACTGAATTAAATTAAAGGAAGACTTGAATGCTTGTTAAAAAAAATATCACTTACATAAACTAGTTTATAACCACACGCAAGCCTCCTAATGGATCATGTATTGTGAACCTACCATAGCAAAACTCCAAAATTTGAACTGTCAGAGAGTTGTTTAATTTGGGGAAAAGCACAATTTTTATCACTTTCTTTCTTTCAACATGTCAAATAGTTCAATTCTTAATATTATATTAGAAGAGGAAGGAAACATGGAATGTGTTTGGTTAATTTACTAACACACTAGAACTAGGAGATAAAGCACAAGACCCTTCCCCATGCTTGCACCTATGACCCCAACCCTTCCTTGTGATAGGTGGTGTGACGATTGACTTTTCTCTCTCTAGCAGCAGCATACTGTATTCATTTAACATTTTTTTTTGAAGTAGAACCCTAAATATCACTGTGCACACCATACCCATTGACATCTTGAGATGATATGAGCTCATTAATGAACTGAGGCCTAGAGGCAGAGGCTCAGCTTTGTGGCTGCTCCAGACTGGAGGATCACTTTCCCCTTCACTTTCATTATAGGCTGCCCTTTTTCCATGGATGACCCTATTATTCACCCATAAAATGTGCTCATATTTTATTTAGATTTGAAATTTAATGCAAAGGGACTGTGTAATAGCACACAAGGCTCTTCTACAAAAGAAAACAACTAAAGTGTAAAGTAAGGTGATGGCAGTAGATTCCTCTTGGAGAAAGTATCTATCTTCTCACTCTGAGACACAGCTATGACCTTGACCTGCTGAGAGGAAAAGTGAAATCTCTTAAATGAGAAGGAGCAAATTCCATTTCTTGTCATTATCTGTTTGTTTTTTGTTGATGCATGTAACAGAGTTGTTTGTATATAAACACATATATAAAGTACATGTACATTGGGCCCTCTGTATCCATGAGTTTCTGGTTCAGCAGATTCAACTGCCCATGGGTTAAAAATATTAGGAAAAGCATTATATCTGTATTGAACTTGCACACTTTTTTTCTTGTCCTCATTCCCTAAACAATACAGTACAATTATTTAGATAACATTTAAATTGTATTAGGTACGATGAGTGATCTATAGATGATTTAACACGTACAGGAGAATGCAAGTGCCATTTTATAAAAGGGACTTGAGCATCCACAGATTCTTGTGGTCCTGGAACCAAACTGCCTGGATACTGAGGGACAACTATATGTAAAATACAATTCTTATTGCTATAGTTTTCTTTTTCCTTTCCTTCTTTGCCAGTCTCCTCCCCTCCTGACTCTGAGCCAGAGAGCCTCAGATCCCCAGGAGTCCCTGGATATCCTTTCTGAACCCATGCTTCCTGGTTCAGATTTCAAACAGCTGTTCTCAAAACTCAGCCTTGTAGAAGTAGTGAAAAGGGGTGCTCCACCCCAGCTCCATCACATTGTATTCATGGCTGGTATTCACCGAAGGTGACAATGGCCTCCCATCCAGTGTTAGCTCCCAAATCATATAATGTCTCCAGGCTTGTTAATGTTTCCATTCCTGTCTCTTTTATGTACCCTAAAATAATACTTTCTAATTTACCTTGTACTAGTCCTACAACATTGCCTCAAACTCCTCCATTCAGAAAACAGAGAAAACACCTACTACATACTTGAAATGAGATTCATCCTTCCTAGTAATATAATCAGAGCTTAGTGCTCGTTTACTTAACATGCAAATTACTGAACAGTAGTACAACTGCAAAAAAAACCAAACCAAAACAAAAACAGACAAATGGCAGCAACAAAAACTGTGAATACCTAATCTTTTCCCATTCCTAAACATCATGTTTCTACTTACATACAAGTCAACTGCGATTTTCTTCCCAAACCACAAAGTGTGGTTTCTACTAAGCTACACCAGCCTTTTCTAAGTTTATGGCAAGCATGAAGAATAGGGTTGCAGATTAGTGTTCTCTGGGTTAGTGTTTATTTTTGTCTTGAAGGGTCTTTTCTCTTTTAGTGAGTTTCGTGTGTATGTGTTTTTGAACTAAGGATTTAAATAACAAACAGTTGAGTGAACAGAAAGTATAATTTATTTCGTAAATAGAAATCAATACTTATTTCTGAATAGTTGTGAGTGGAGAAATAATTAGCATATTGTTATTCAGTAATGCTATTTCCACCTAAATTTTGCATTTAGGATCCTAGGACTCTTTATCCGAGGCATTGAAGAAAACAGCAGGTGCAAGCGGGAAGGACTCTTTCACGAAAATGAATGTATTGTAAAAATCAACAGTGTGGAGCTTGTAGACAAAACTTTTGCTCAGTAAGCATTTCTCCATTGTTTTACTTACTTTATTAGTCCCTAAAATGGTTATAATCATTACTGAGCTCATTCTGATCAAAACTGGAGGTAGACTTTCTGGTCAATTCTCTTTAAATGACCACTGGACATCCATTTTTTTGAATGCATTTTATGTTTTAGCTTACTAAAGGTGACCCACACATGTGCCTGACATCTCCAGGAATGTTAAACACAGAACAGAACCAGCCATTCCGCCTACTTATCTTACTGGGGCATTGATGGGGGGAGTTTGTTTTACTTGGGCTATGCGTCAGTCAGACTGGTATTTAATGGCTCTTTTCACAGACTATTAGTTCAGCTTATTAATTAACTTACCCGATGTCAACAGTCTTTCTTAAACTCTAAAATCTGTGACAGATGTCTATGAGCACCCAGTGAATAATAGAAACCAATATTAATAATTAAAGTATTCTCCCTCAAGAAGGCATCTCTTAGAATATGAAAATGTTAAGAGAATACTGTCTTGTATGCAAGAATTAGAGCAGTGTGTTGCATACTTATTTTTAAATGTATGTTAGCATTGCACTGAGATTCCAAATTAAGGGAGTAAGTACTAGCACTCCTTAGTGATAATCAGCAATCTCTTTGTTTCTGCCCCAAACTGCTCATAATACATCTTCTCTCTGGGGTTTAGTTGTGAATATTTTGGGGGAGTGAAGGGTATATGGCTATGGATGAAAGGAAAGTAGGCACCAGCTGGTTAAGTATAGAAAGAAATGAAGTCTCCTTAAACAAATCTATTTTGTTAAAAAAATTATTAATAATGATATTATATTATTTGCCATTGTGCTTTTTTACAAGGATTTGACAGGTATGCAAGGCAGACGTGGTTGCTTAGAGGAGTAAATGAGAGATCCATGTGTAGTCATCATGCATGTGTAGCCTAGTGTGGGGGTGCTAGTGGGTGGGTAGTAACAGTATTTAGTTAACAGAGTCACACGGTAGGAATAGTTTCATTGCCTCCTACACTTATGCTATTGTGCTGCTTTTGGTTGCTGCAGTGCTTGGGTATTTTAGGAGGTAGCACACTAGAACAGTATCATTGTACATTTTATTAACTCTTTTAAGGGCACAAGATGTCTTCCGTCAGGCGATGAAATCTCCAAGTGTGCTTCTCCATGTGCTTCCACCTCAAAATCGTGAACAATATGAAAAATCAGTCATTGGACCTCTTAACATTTTTGGTAATGATGATGGTGTTTTGAGAACAAAGGTGCCGCCTCCTGTCCAAGCCAAATCAGGACTAAAGACAGTAAATGTCACAGGAACAAATACTCCTGAAGCAGATGCATCCATTTCCCTGCCACAAAGTAGGAGCCCCCGAGTACCAAGACTAGGAAGAAAGCCTTCCTCTCCCTCACTCTCCCCTCTCATGGGGTTTGGCAGCAAGAAGAATGCAAAGAAAATTAAGATTGACCTAAAGAAAGGTAATTATTAAATTATGCCTAATAGCATTCTATTATTGTAACATGTAAAATTGGTTAAGAGAAATGCATTAAAGCTAATTTAGTTAATTCCCCTTTTCACTTAATTGTATCAAAGAATAGATTTAAGTATATACTTGGGTAACTTAAATTTCCTGAAACTATAATACTTTCTTCATCTTTTCTCCTGCCAAGTATAGACTATTTGAAAGAGAAAACAAAGACATGTTGGAGAGTGGAAAGAAATCTTTGCAAACTTGATAAAAACAAAGCAATATTGTGTTGCAACTTAATACTAAATAGGCACCAAAATTCAGTTGTCTCCATTTTGACCACAATTAGTGATTTTCTTTGAAGCATCATTTAGGCCAGGTTCAACAAGTATGTCACCTTTTCTTCTGTTGGACGGTTTTATATCAGAAAAAAATTTACTCTTTGGAAAGGAAATATATAATGATTACTAATTTCACATTGCAAGTATTTTTTCAAAAGTATACATAATTTCAAAAGCACATATAACCTTTTCTTTCTTCGTCTTTTTCAACTTTTCTACCCATTTCAAGCATGGATCAGCGAGACTAGATGGTGTGCATACATGCATGTTGATGCATTATTTTCACACACATGTTCATGCATTGTTGTGCTTTTGTTCATTTTGTACCTTCTGCCTGATATTCCCTTCCCCCATTACAAAATTCTAAAATCCTGTGATTTTTTTTTTTTCAAGACAATTCAAAATGCCCCAAGATCTTAGATCTTGACCTAATTAATAGAAAGATTAATGGTCAGAAGGCTTATTAATGTATTTCAAAAACAAATAGCATTCATCTTTATCTAGGATATAGAAATTATTCTGAAAAAAAATGATTCTGTGATCAAATTTTCGTTTACCTAGAAGAATCCTATACTGGGAATAAGATGAGTTGAGTATGAGGCACAAATACTCCAATGTGCTTACCAATTAGGCCTTTTATTATAAATGCATTCATTATATTTTTTGCACAAATAATTATATAAGATGTGGAGCTGGGTACTTTGGGGAATGAAAGATGAATCAGTCACATAGTTACTTTAAAAATCTTTCAGAAAGGTGTGCAACTTATTTTATGCAAAAATAAAGAATACCACATCAGAGCTGTACTTTGGAAAGATTAATCTGAAAGCAAAAAGACATACTGAAGAAGAAACCAGATCAGTAAAGTGTACATTGCCTCTGTCTAAATGAAAAAATAGAATATGCGTGCCTTAAGAGATGAATGGTTGTAGGAAGGGAGAGAAATTACAGTTATTGCTGAGGTTTTCATCCGGGCAACTCACATAATGGAAATGTCATTGGTAGAAATTAGAATTTTAAGTAGATTAGGATATTTGAAAGGGGCAGGATATGAATTGGAGAAGTGGGTACATAGTGAAGTGAAATACACATGATTCCTAGGAAGCTAACATCAGAAAACGAGAGTAGAGCCTAACAGAGACGAGGCCTTTTCTTTAGAGAGATCACACTGGAGCTAAGAGCTGACCAAAGCAAGGAATCTAAAGGACAAATTGGCCCAAAACAGAATCCTGGGGAAAGATAATGGTATGAGTAAGAGAGTGACAGACATGATATGATAAGAGAGGTGGCAAAATAAAGACATTAAAAATTCAGTGGGAGTTAATTTCACAAAGTGATTAGTAGGAAATGTCATAGACAGGAGCGAAGATCAAGGATAGGAACAATTCCTGGGGATGGTTATAAGTATGTCACTCAGCTTTCCATTACTGTAACAAAATATCTGAAGTAATCAGCTTAAAAATAGGAAAGGCTTATTTTGACTCACAGTTTTAGAGGTTTCTGTCTATAGCTGGCTGGTTGTTTTGGGACCTGTGGCAGGGCAGTTTAGAATAGTGAGAATGTGTGGCAGAACATACTTCTTATTCCATGCCAGCCAGGAAGCAAAGATAGAGGAAGAGGGGCCAGGATCCCAATAGCCCCTTCTAGGACATGCTGTTAATGACCTAACTTCCTTCCACTAGGCCCCACCTCCTAAAGGTTTTACCATTTCCCAATAGGCCCAGTTGCAAGAGACCAAGCTTTTAATACACAGACTTTTTGGAGACACTTGTCCATGCCATAGCAGGAGGTCATTACTGATGGAAACTTAAAACAATAAGATTGAAATAAAGACTCTTTAGGGTATAGAAATCTGAACATACCTTTAGACAAAGTTGAAAATACATGTAAGGGAGAAATAGGAGAACAGGGCAGAGACAGCAAGACTGGTGATGAAAGGACAGTGAGCTGTAGCCATACAAGGAATCAGAATGCAAGTGGAGGTGGGAGTCACAGATTCATCATCTGATTGAAGACAAACAAAACTCAGGTCACATGCTTTTGGCTTCTCAGGAAAGAAGAAGTCAGGTTATGGTTTACTGAGAGAGTAATCTCCTAGGCATACGGGTAGCATGCTTTCTAGAACCTGAATAAATGAAAGTGTCATAATATATTTGGGGGCCTAAATTCCCTTCAATACCATCATGGCCAGTTAGGAACTATAATCTTTATTAAGTCCTGAACAACTGAAGCATATTTACAAATCTTCTAGAATATAAATTCTTTACTTAATACATTAGTCTAAATGAGGCAGATTTTACTGTAAGATTGAATATGATATTTTCAGTGCTTAAGGTGACAGCATTTCCCTCATCTTGTACACTAGGCCCTGAAGGACTTGGTTTCACTGTGGTTACCAGAGACTCTTCCATTCATGGTCCTGGTCCCATTTTTGTAAAAAACATTTTACCAAAGGGAGCAGCAATAAAAGATGGCCGCCTACAATCAGGGGACAGAATTTTAGAGGTAAGTATTGAAATTAATATCATCAATAAAATATTTATTGATATTTACATAAGTAAATATATGAACACAAACAGTTGTTCCTTAGTATCTCTGGGGGATTGGTTCCAAGACCCTCCCAAGAATAGTAAAATCTGCAGATGTTTATATTCTTTATATAAAATGCCATCATATTTGCATATAACTCAGGCATATCCTCCTATATTCTAATCATCACTAAATCACCTACAATACCTAATGCAATGTAAATGCTATGTAAACAGTGATTTTACTATGTTGTTTAAAGAATAATGACAAGGGAAAAGTATGTTCATATGTAGCACAGATACTTTTATTTAACTTTCATTGTTTTTGAGACAGGTCTTTGTAGCCCAGATTGGCCTCAAACTCATGATCCTCCTCCTCAGTGTCCCAAGTGCTGGAATTATAGGCTTACACCACCATGCCTGACAAAACCCATAGGTTTTTAGGTTTGCACGTTAATTAACTTTTTTTTGGTAGTACTAGAGACTGAACCCAAGGCCTTGCTCATGCTAGGTAACTGAGTTATGTCCCAAGCCCTTTTTAAAATATTTTTGATATATTATTTTTGATATAGTTGAATCTACAGAAATTAAATTCACAGATATGGAGGGCAGACTGTATATTTATACTTTAAACATAACATATATGGCAAATTATTACTTGTAGACAAGATAAGGACTTTAATTCTGAGCAGCCTAATTTTGTAAGTTCCCCACTAAGGTCAGTGATATAGGATCAAATAATAATGAAAACTTCTTCTGTCTTCTCTTTCTTACCTCCTCCTTTTTTGGCCCTGAGTAATCTGAATTGAATCCATGAGTTTGTCATATATTCAGATAGTGCTAGGAATTTCAAAATTACACCCAATCCTTTGTAATAATTCCTCCAAAGTTTTAAGGTGGGCTGTGTGCCTTAGGTTGATCTATGTTATAAATAAAGCTGTATCCCCTATGCTCAGCTAGTAATGTAAACAACTATAAGGGTTTGCATAGATAAGTATTTAGAATACTTAGAGCAAGAATGTTATTTTTTTCCATTTATTTCTGTTTAGTAGCATCATTTTGGTGATCCTATATCATCAATTTACCTTTCAAGAAATCTTTGTTGAAACTGGCTGGTTTTAACAATCATGGCATAAAGAGCTATAGTTCTTTTCATATAGTTCTAGATTGTAAAGAAAGATGCACCAAATACCTAGTGTAGCACCAAATACCTAGTGTAGCTCCAAATTAGAATTTCTAGTAACCTGTGAAACTCTGACTATAATTTTCCAGATATGAGGAAAACTTTATAATTATATCATAATATTCATATTTCCAGAATTTACGATGTGAAGTGGACTACTGTGCACTTTTGTTTATTATATTAGGCAAAAAAAGGTGCTAGGTAAGCATTTGAAATCTACTTCCTGCCTATTTGATGAATCAGTTTCTGGTGTTGATCAGTTTGGTTTTCCCCTCAGAAAAATATGATTTCTTGAGAAAAATTGTTGATACTAATTACTGGTTGTCTGAGTTTGTCCAGCATCATAATAATGTTGGTCAGTGTATTACTGGAAACGCATGTGAGTTTTGCCTAGGTATTATTTAGGATTCGTCTTTTCAGCACTTCATTGATGAAGTGATCCCATTTGCTGCTTGGTTTAGAAAACTATCTAGGAACTGGGCGTGGTAGTCCATACCTGTAATCCCAGCACTTGGGAGGTAGAAGCAGGAGAATCTCAAGTTCAAGGCCAGTCTGGACTACCTGATGAGTCCTGTCTCAAAAAAAAAGAACAAAGAAAGGAAGGGAGGGAGGGAGGGAAGGAGAGAGGAGGGAAAGGAGGGAGGGGAAGGAGAAAGAGAATAAAAAAGAAAGCCCATGTGTGGAAGATAGCCAGTGTTGTAACTGTAACTGTCACGTGATTGAATTCATTAGGTAAATGGCAGAGACGTCACTGGACGAACTCAGGAAGAGCTTGTGGCCGTGCTGAGGAGCACCAAGCAGGGAGAGACAGCATCACTGGTCATTGCCCGCCAAGAAGGAAATTTTCTGCCCCGAGAGCTGGTAATGTTCAGATCTCACTCTCACTGAAATTTCAACATACATTGAATTCATAATAGTTGAGTACTGAGTTCTAAATTACAGTCTTTATGACAAAAGTTGAATTTGACTATTTTATTCTATTTGGTGTATCACATTTTAGGTCATTAATACACCAAGTTGATACATGGAAACACTGTTTTGGGAACACATTCAAATACCTTTTAGCAATAAATAACTATTCTACAATATTCAATTAAGTGGATAGAAATGTACATTGAGTATATGCTATATGTTAGGTCCCACACAAAATAGTCAGCAACATAGACCATGGCCCTTCTTTAATGAAATGTACAATCTAAAAGAAAATAAAAGTATAACCAAGTATTCAAACAAGAGATGAAGATTATGAAAGAGAACTGCAGAGTGTTATAGTAACACAGAACAAGGGAAGTTAACCTGCTTTTGAGCAGGAAAGGTATCTTGAAGAGCAGAATCTCAATTCTTATTAAAAATCTATACCCTTTGACATAATAACTACATTTCTAGTAATCTGTCTTAACTTGATGGTCAAAGGTGTGGGAAAAATTCATGTACATTGATTTTTCTTCTAAAGTTCTCAATTGTAATGATATATTTGGTATTGTAAAGCCATAAGATATTGGTTAGATAACTAGATATTTCTCTAATGAAATATAACAAATACTTAAAATGGTATCAGTGAAGAATTATTAATAGTATGAGAAAATATTCATAGCATAACGCTAAGTAAAAACAATAGGACATTAAATTATATACCAATATGATCAAATTGCTTTAAAGCCTCTAAGACATCTCTCTGCACTCTGAGCCCATCTGATCCCACTACTCTTACATGTGTTATATCCATGTTTTAGTATACAATTTTACTGAATCATCACTCTTCTATATTAATGTTCTGTATATTACCCAAAAGACCCTCTTCCCTACAAATTTCTTTCACATAGAATTTCCCTTCTGTACCTGTCATCATCCTGTCCATTGTCTCCCTTTCCCTAGTGTATGTTCTGGGAATATCTATAGAAAATAGGGAAGAGAAGAGTGAGAGGCATAGGCCATAAAGACACTCTCCTCACATCCTTTCCTCTAGTCTCCTCTATACCCAACCACTCTGGAAGGGAGAATGCTGAGCTTTTGCTTCATCTTCTCTCTGAAGTTCCTTAGTCTTCCCGAAGAAAAATGTTGCAGAAACTCACCATCATTTTTTTTTTCTGAAATACAGATGGTTTTTAATCCTTTGTTTATCCAAAGGCTTTCTCTACAAGGGTCAATGTGAAAAGAAACAATAAAAAGGGGACTGTGTGTATGCACAGTGGAAAGCCTTTTCACTTCTTGTTCAATCCTCTAGATGCTACAGGTAAAAACTCTCAGAAAATATCAGTGAGACTGTGCTTATCCAGAGATAGAAGAAAAAGAATGTTTTGACCGTGTATTAAAGTAGGATCCTGGAAGGAATAAAGCTTTACACTAAAAAGAGCCATTCTAGCCAGTCCTTGCCGTGTGAGAGAACTTAATGACAGAGCTCTAACCAGGAACTTAAACTCTAAGGACCCTCCACCCCCATCCTTGTACTCCCCTCCCATATGTCCTCTGGAATTCCTGACTCCACACTAATTCCTTCTTCCTAGAAGCTTTCTTCTCTCCTTCCTCTAGATATGGGGAAAGGGATGCTGACCTTATCCCAATTTGTAATGCTGGAGGCATTTTTCCATCAAAAACAATTACATCTATAAGTTTGAAACTAGAATAATAGAATTTTCAAGCTAACGGGAATTGTGCAGATCCATAAGTTCAGCTCTAATTTGCAGATGAGAAAACAGAGGTTCAATGTAGTTGAGTAACCTGTCCAAGTTCCTACAAAGAGCTGGAAATAAGACCTAGATTTCCAAATACCATCATCTCTGAACTTCAGCTACTAGAACTCAGTGTTCTAGCTGTGTGATTGAGTGTAGGTCACAAGTCAGTCAGAGGCTCAGTTTATTAATCTGTATCACAAGTTCATGGTGAGGATTAAAAGAAAGAAAATATGCAAGCTCTTAGCATCATGTCTGGCCACTTGTAAATTCTCAGCAAATATCATTAAGTATAATTATTTCTTATAATATATTACAACTTCTGTAGTACTGCAAATAAAATATAGACTTTAGATTATATTATGGAGTAAATAGATTTATGCAGATGTGCCCATGATTACCCACTATTTTTGAACATTTTTTTCTTTCTTTTTTATCGTGTTAAGGTGCATTCTGGAATCTAAAAATACTGATTTACAAATAAAATTTTTTTCCTTTATTCATTTATTCATATGTGCATACATTGTTTGGGCCATTTCTCCCCCCTACCCCCAACCCCCTCCCTTTCCCCCCAACTCCCCTCACTTCCAAGCCTCTTCTCCAGTTTTGTTGAAGAGTAGACATAAGCAATAATAAAAGAAAGACAAAGCATTTTTGCTAGTTGAGATAAGGATAGCTATACAGACAGATTCCTAGCATTGCTTCCATGCACATGTGTATTACAACCCAAATTGATTCATCTCTACCAGACCTCTTCACTACTTCCCAGTCTACTTCCCATATTGACCTCTGTTGTTTTAAGATTACTATATTAGCTCCTGTGCAGTGGGCACATCAAACAATTTCAAGTTTTGGATTTCCTGCTTTTCCCTGTTCCTCCTGTATGTGTTCTCCCCTTAGTGTGTGACCCATGTCTAATAATTTTGTTTTTTTGACAAACAAAAATTTTATAGTCAAGCAACTCCATAAGTGAGGCAGCCTGTGTATATTATTTTTCTCTCATTTAATAGCTTTAGATGAAATTTAATTTCTATCCCAGAAATTACATCATAGACTGAGCCCACTAGGGAGCATATTAAATTAACTGTGCAACTATGAGATTATTAATGCAAATAAATTATTTGTTCTCATTGTTTTTTATTTTATACAAAATATGGAGGTCATGTGGTTACTATTCATTTTCTTAAAACTTTCTGAAAAATGTCTAGCCTCTCCAAAATATTTGACAGTCAACTATCCAAATATGTGCATATTCTTTGTAATCACAGCATAGAAAGGGTTTTTCAGGTTTATAAGTACTTAACTCTTGTGGACTGAGAATCTTTGTTTTAGAGGAATAATAGTATTTTTTTCAGTCCAAATGCCTTCCTTGAGTGCTAAGGAGCAAGAATCACATAGGAATTTAAAGACAGGTCATGTTTGCATGTGTAAGCCTTTTCAGTGGGACTTATTTCATAGTGTAGCATGCACCAGACTCTTTGAAAGAACAAAGTAAAGAACAATATGTTATATGATATATCTTTGTGTTTTCCTTTCAAAGATTGGAAGGTATCATTACTTTGGTCTCTTCTCTCTCCTTTATCATGATTGATGCAAACACTTGACTTTTCATTGAGAAACTGACAGGAGAAAGGAAGGACAGCACTTCCTGCTTTTGTCTTACTCTGTCTCCTTTGAAGAAAACAAACAGTTTATTGTTTTTCTGTTCTGAGAAACTGGCCTTTCCCTTTTTCTATGCCTTGCTACTTCATGAACTCTACGCATCTTAACAGCACTACCCTGCCTATTTTCTGACAGCTAAATCTTCCTTACTTCCTTGTTATCATTAGTTTCTTATAAAGTGTTGATACTTACAGCCAAGAGAGCATGTGGTCAGCAGTTATAGAGGAAGTCTCAATATGGGATCATGTCTATGCTGTGACCCTCTGTCATTCCAGAGACTTTGGCATCCATTTCCTGGTCATTTCTCCTGACCTGCCACCTAAGAGGACTGTGCTGAACTCTTGATTGTGGGCCCCTGGCCTTCCTCCTGAGCAGTCAGAATCATAGGTTTAGAAGCACATATAGCTAACCTGTTTCCATCTGTGTCTGGCTGAGTGGAAAAACAAATGAGAGGAATTCATGTAATAACATCACAATGATTTAGCTGTTCTAGTATCTTTACCAAAAGAACTGTGCTTCAAAGGTAATGTTCCTAGAATTCTAGTCTGGAAGATTCTTTGATGTCCTCACCCCCTAATGGGGTGAAAGTACATTAAGGAGGCGTTCACACAAGGAACATTTTTGCAGAAGGTACTTTGAGATTGGTGTTGGTAATAGAATTGGATGGTGAAACTGCTGTGTCTGCATCTCTCTTGAAATGAAAACTGTGCTACTTACTCAGTGGTTCCTTGGGTCTGTTCTGTAAGAAGTGTTGCCTCCAATTTCTTTTCTATCCCAGGTACTTAAAGTACTTTTTTTTTCTTAAAAAGTAGAAAGATAAGACCATCTTTCTATTTAAAAGAACTATTTAAAAACTGAAGGCCTATTGGTTCCATGATGTCTTGATTCTTTTGAAGAGAGAGACACACAGAGAAAGACACTGAGTTATTTGCCATGTATGCACATATGCATGTGTGTATGTCCTCTTTCATTTATTGAGGAGAAAGAAATATTGTGCCATTTCTTTGTTAACCTGTATAATGTTGCATTTTCTGACCTGCTGCCCTATCTTTAAATTATCCTGAAAATAAAAGAAACTCCTGGTGGGTAAAAATGAGCTGAGAAAATTTCAAATGTACTTATAATTTCTACCTACCAAGTTGCCTGCTATTAAATGCTGGCCTCTGCAAGTGGAATCAACTGTATTTCAAGCAAGCAAGCAAATTTCTCCTGCCCTGCATGATTGAGAACTAAAAGTTAGCCATATTTTGTCATACTGATTTGATCATCACTTAGGAATATTGAGGAAAAATGATGTACACATGTGTGAGACTTCCTTAATAGTTGCCAAGCATAGTGAATTCCATCCCTACCATATTTACCTATCCCTGTGTCTACCATAGTGAGTGAGATGTGGTTCCAACTCCTTCATGTTTCAAATATCTTATTATTAAATGAAAAAATGCATACCTTCAACTGTCAAATTATTTAACATCATGAATAATGGAAGAATTTTGATTTGAAATCTTAGATGAACCTCATTTAACTGAT